GCGCCGACGGGCTGGTGGGGTTGCTGCGTTGCGCCCCCCGACACTCCGCGTGGTGGCATACCTGCAGGCACACGTCAGCCGGGCACAGGCTGCCCAGGGCCGCCGGCCACACCACGCCAGCGGGAGGAATGGGCAGCACCACGAGCAGCGGGGACCTCCCTTCCCATCCCCAGCTGCTGCCGGCAGACCGCTCGCAGGCAACGCTGAGGCTGGAGCAGGCACAGGGAAAGCAGCGTGAGCTGGATACGGCCACGAGGCAGGGGGTTCTGCACTGCAGAGCCACACTGAGCAGGGACCCCAGGAAGGCTGCACGTGCCTGGGCACGGGGCGGGGGGAGCCGGGGGACAGCCGCCTGTGCCACCCGCACTTCACCGGGTGCCGAGGAGGCCGCGCTCCCGCACTGCAGCCCCTTTTGCACTGGTGAGAGCAGCGTCCCTGCGGCAGGACGGAGGAAGCGAGTGTCTGCAGTGAAACAATGCTCGAAGCCGGCGCATTTCCTTCGATTGTGTTGCCGGCCGTGGCCACAGCCCCAGCCCCGCCGGGCATTCACAGTGGGTTATTTTTAACCCCCCATCCAGGCCCCCAGCACGGTGCACAGCCTGTGACCCCCAGCCAGCGCCCTCCTCACTGAGGGCTCCAGCTGGCCCCATTCCCGGGGACCGCGGTGCTGCCGGCCACTACCAGCAAGCCCCGCTGCACTGCCAGCACGTTCCCATGTGGGACCCCATCGCTGCCTGGCATGCGGAGGGGTGGCGAGGGGCTGCTGGGGAGGAGGGAGCCCTGTCCGGGCTTGCCTGCAGCGTGCTGTGCCGCTGCGGGGAGGAAGCGCCTGTGCAGCTCCAGCCACCCCCGCTTCCTGCCCTCCTTCCTCCCAGCGCCGCTAAGGTCAGAGCTGACGCGCTCCCGCCACCCGCGCGCTCCCTGAGGGGCCACCAGCCCCTCCGCAGCCACCAGCCCCTCCGCAGCGCCCAGCACCGCAGCACCCACCGGTGTCCTGCCAGGAGGCAGCCATAGCCCTGGAGACACGTCGGCCTTACCACCAGTCCAGGATGCCCCGTGCCCCTGGCCCCAGCCCTCCTCTCCCACCACATGCCCCAGCCCAACACCATCGTGGCCATTGTGGCACCTGTGGGATGTAGAGCATGGCCACAGGGTCTGGGCAGCGACCGCAGCTGGTGCTCACTGAGTAGGGACCCCCCAGGACCCTCAGCAGCCACCCCACCAGGATTCCCAAACCCCTCTGCCCGCCCCAGGGATCAGTTCCTAGCCCCACCGTGCTCCCAGCACACGGCAGCTTTGCCCTCAGCAGCTGCCCCATGAAGCGAGGGGGCACGCAATGCAGCTCCGTGCCACGGCAGGATGAGCTCCCAGCCCGGCCAGGACCCCCCGCCCCCCACTACCTGCCGGGCGCCGTCGGGGGTCTCTGGTGACAGCGGCAGTGTGGCCCCGGCAGGTCCCTCCCGGCGATCCTGGCTGCACCCCAGGGTGGCCACAGCCCAGCACCACGTGTGCCCCCGCTGGCGCTGGCCCTGCCACCCCAGCCGTGCAAACAAAGCGTGGCAGCACACCTCCCGGCGTGGCCAGGCTGCCATCCTGCCTGCTGCACCAGAAAGGCACCGCCCGGGGTCCGGCATGGGAACCCCGGGGACTCATTGGGAGCCGGTGTGTGGGGCCAGCCCAGCCCCGCACGCAGCCAGCTGGTGGGAGAGAAGGGACCCTCAGTCCGCTCTGGCATCATGCTAGCGAGCGGGGGGACAGACAGGCTGGCGGGCGTTAGCCCGAATCACACCAGCTAGGGGAAACGGGCAAGCTGTCGCCGTGCTGTTAAATGCCAGCAGGACCGCGACACCGCCAGGGAACGCACGGCCAGCACGGGCTGGGGAGGCACAGCTGGCCGGTGGCTGCTGGCCATGCCAGGGGGCTTTGGGGAGCAGCAGGTCGTGCAGAGCTTCAGACTGCCCCTTCTCACCTGGAAGACTGATGCCAGGCGCTGGCAGAAGGCAGCTGCCCGGCGCTGCCCACCACCCCACAGGACCCACCTTGGCCGCCCTCCTCTCGCCGGTGCAGTTGGGGTTCTGGCAGTGCAGCACCGTCTCCTCTGGCGAGCACGGCTCAGCTGCAGGAAAGAGAGGGGGATCAGTGCCAGGGTGCCGCGATGAGCCCCCTCCAACTCTGCTCCCAGCCCTGCCCGCACAGGGGGGCCGCACCGAGGCTCCCGCACCACAAACCCTGGGTTTAGGAGCTTGGCAAAGCACTCGGGCTCAGCCGAGGCTGGGCCTGCCTGCTCCTGCCCGCCCCGCAGCCTGTCCAGGAGGATGAAACCCCGTGCCCAAGAGCCAGTGCTGCATCCCTGCTGGGGGAAGGCACCGTGCATCCTGCAGCATCAGGACCTGGCACCTCCTACCCGGCACCCCAAGTCGCAGGATCAGGACACAGACCTGCCCCAGCTCCCGCGGGGCCGGCACGGACCG